GGGCCGGGGCGCGGGGGAGAGCCGGAAAAGGGGGGGGGGGGGGGAAGAAAAAAAGAGAGCACACTCTTATTTCTACATTTTTTTTCTTTTTTAATTGACAGTTCCGGGGAGAACAGTTCATTTCTTCTTCTCCACATCCTGCTCTGCCGCTTCTTTGGCGCGTTTCGCACGAATCCCAAAGAGACGGGCGTTGGCCCGGGCCATGCGCAGGCTGGCGAAGGCCTTGAAGTTCTTCTCGTCTTCCGAGATAACGCGGGCCTTCTCCCGTTTGAAAACCTAGTGGGGAGAGCGAGCGCCAGCAGTCAGATCGCACATCAGAGGCTCCCGGAGAAGGCTGCGTTTAAGGCTTAACGCAATTAATCTCGCTACATTTTTACCACTAGCTGTTAAGAATAGAGTGCTTATGCCATCTACAGGCCCTGCCCTTATCATCGCTCCACCAGGCGCCTCATTTCAACCGGTTCCTAGTTCGCCAGCGCGCGTCAGAGCAAGACCAGAATGTACCGGGGGAAAAAAAAAAAAGCCAAACCCAAGCGCCACGTGAAATCTGAGTCAGGTTTGCAGTGTGCTAGCAACAGCACCTTTCAGAAGCAGCGAGGGTTTGGAGACAAACGGTGGCTACGTGACCTGCCCAGGCTGTCGTGCTGCCAGCATGCACCCCTCACCCCAGCTGGCAACCCTAAGCGCCCCAATTTCGCAGGGGGACGAGCTCCCTCAAAGGGACAAACAGCCCCGGAGGCCACAGCGCTGAGCACGAACACGCACTGGGGCTGCTCCACCTGCGCGTGCCCTCGCAGGAACCGTGCCGCCGGGGGGGTTACTGCACAGGTTCCCCCCCAGCCTTCCCTGCGGAGCATAGGGGGCTGCGCTTCCCCCAAATTTAAGGCAGAAGTGGAACATGTAGATGTGATTATTCCCAGCCAACGCATCTTGACCTGAACCCCTGGCACTGGCGCCCGGAGCTCGCCTCTGGCCCCACAAACAGCTCACACTTCAAGGAATTCCTCAGCTGAGAAGTTTGGGGAGCTCCAAGTAATCAGTTTTTTGTAGCGTGCTCTGCCACGCCGAGGGACCAAAAAATACAAGGACAAGCGCGACCTATTCCCGGTTCCCTTTGACGCACGAACGGGAAGCGTCTGGAGACAGCAACCCCTAAGTGTAGAACAGCCAGCAGAGAAACCTCCCCGTGAAGGTTAAGCCTCAATTACGCCACACAGGGAACGCAATTTAGTTACACTTACATTCTTGATGGGCATCACTGGTCCAGTCAGCTGCGTCGCCATCTTGAGCTCCTCAGCCTGCGGAACAAGAGGACAAACCCAATGATTTTAGAAAATAACCAGTATTTAACTTATACACGCTGTTAACAATTCTGACTGGAGACGTAACGCTGACTGGTAACGAATTCAGCATTTCAGAGGAGTATTTGGCAGACGTGCCACATCAACACCCCCTGTTTTGCCTGGCTATGGATCAGCCCGGACCTGGCCAGAGGAGCAGCGGCGCTTCGGGAGTTGTGCCAGCTGGAAAAACGTTGACATCTGCAGTGTCATTTTTAGTTTGACACAGCATATTCCTCAGGGACTCCTCCTAAGGCTTCTTGACGAGGATGGCATTGCACAGAAGTGATTAAGGTTTATTTTAGTTAGTTATTTTCAAGTAAAAAACCCTTCCAACAGTATTCCAGGCACAAGTATCCGTACCTACAGATGCAGAAGCCTGAGCCCCTTCCTCCCACATTCTGAAAAGCAGCCCGAGTACGGGTGGGCTCCATGACAGTTAAGCAGCTCGGAGCTGACATTCTCCAGAAGACTGAGGATAGCTCGAGCACACCACCTCGTTTCACGACTCACGCTGCCCCACAGGGAGCCTCTATTTACCACGGGCAGAGCCATGGACAGGCACAGAAAGCTAACTGTACTCTGGATCTCGGCGAGATTTTAGTGAAAAGCATTTCTGTATGTCAACAGCAACAACCTTCTCAAGACTGCCTGACGCGTGGCTTTCACTGAACTACTCCACTGATACGTCCTCGCCTTCCTCGCCCTTTCTGCGTAGCTGTCACCACAGCAGAACAGAACCCCAGGTGGACTTTTCAGCCATTTGGGCAATTCAGCTTTGTCAACTAAAATTCAACTGGTCGGGCAATGATCAAAGCTCCAGCAAACAGACCACCAAGGAGTCGAGCCCCAAATCCGCGCTGCACCCCTTCAGCAGCACGGCAGCTCCGTAGCCCAAAAGTCTGTCCAAAGCGCTACCGTAACCCAGGAGATCCCCGTGGGAGTCGACTCCGCCAGGCCTGGCCTTGCGCTGGGCTCAGTCACCCCTACGTACGTGCACGGGAACCATGCTGCCCCGGGAGAAGGGCTGCTCCCCGCCGGGGGTGGCTTTACGTTATGGGCAGCGTTCACCACGGCACCAGGACGGACTCACAACCAAACCTCTGAAAACACAGACCCTGCAGAATGTTTCTAGCGACCAAGTACTCACAGAGCTGTCTCCCTTCTTCGGCATAGCTGGCTTCCTTGGGAAGAGGATAAGCTTGGAGCGGTATTCCTTCAGCCTCTGCACGTTGGCTTGCAGCGACTCGGTAGACTTGTTGCGTCGCCTGGGATCCACAGAGATTCCAATAGTCCGGGCAAACTTTTTGTTAATGCCGGCGAGCTGAGGAGAGAGCGCACAGGGTCAGCACCCGACAGCTCCCAACGCTGCCGGGAGCCGCTCCGGTCCTCAGCCAGACAAGGCTACAGAGTCTGGGGAAAGGCTCGGCATCCGACGGCGAGGGACCGACTGTGCCACCAAAGGGCGTCCTGCTGCCCGCATTTTGATGCTTAAAATATTACACAGACTTTACAGTAATTTTTGCAGATGGGTTTCCTCGGGAGAGCAAAGTGCAACCCCCTGAGTAATTACGAGGGGGACATTTAAACTCTGATACACACGAGACAGAAATCTATGAAGTCAGCACACAGATAACTCTGGTTCACTCCATACTGGAAGCTCCGTTACAGAGTATTTTTTGTAACCGTCTTAAACAAGAAATAACCTAATTTTCTGTTTAATGACAAACATCCACATACCATTTCGTATTCCACCGTTACCCAAAAATTAAAGAAAAATAAAATAACAAAGCATTTGGCATCCAGAAGAGTTCTACTGCTTCAATGCACTAATTTCACTGTTATAAATGTTTTAATTAGCTACTAAACAACACACAAGAGGCAGCTGTGGATGCTGGCTGCCAGCAAGCACTGATGTTTACTCCTGCTCACTGTGTGGAAATAGCGGGTGGGGGGTGCTGCAGGCCACCGCCATCCTGCCGGTAACAGCTCGTCAGCGCAGCCCGCCCGGGACGGTCACAGAGAAGAGTTTTCTGAAGCAACGGAGGGCACCGGACGCTTCCCACAGACTTTAAGTGTTCCTAAACCTGAGGAACAGCCGCAGCTACTCTGCAAGGCCAGGCAGAACAGTTCCCTTTCCCGGCACAACACCCCTCACTGCTGTTGGGGATAAGTTGAGCGTGGTTTACTTGGTCCATAACACAAACAGGTTCACGCTGGCTACAGCTTTTAGGATTAGCAGAAATGTGTTTCACAAAAAAAAAAAAAAACCCACCAAACCCAAAACAATTTAATGAAGAAGCTGTTAATCTTTATTTTTCCCCAAAAGATGTTTAGGAGACTCAACTAGTGCCCTACCAGAATCTGACTTTAATGGAATTTTGTGTAAGTGACAGTCTGACCAAACAGACGTTCACTTTTCAAAGCCACCTTTCGCTCTGTTGTACACTACTGCGTCCTCCCCACTGTCACAATGAAAAGCAAAGCCAGTGTTCTCTGTATTCCTGTAGAGCCAGCAACACCAGGCGCCTCCCCCGGCTCAGCCAGCACCAGCAGACACTGACGCTTCGGCATGCCACCTGCACGTCATCTACAGGCACAAGACAACTGACCTCAGACCCAAAGTTGGTTTTATGGGGTTGGGGTCAGTGCTCCGTACTTACTTTAAGCTCTTCTAGGCTGAAGCCTCTGCCAGCACGAACTTTTTTGTGGTATCTAATAGTCGGACACCTCACTATAGGCCGGATGGGCCCAGCCACGGGACGGGGAGCGATGCGGCGAGCCTTCACCTGGCGGGCCTTCCTCCTGGAAGGTCGAGGGGGACAGCGGTCAGGAACAATGCATTTTTGCCAGGCGTGCCGCTCCTATGCTGCCAGCCGAGCTCCCTTGCCAGGCAGCATCTGCTGCACGGGGATCTCTCAGAAGCAAACAGAACGCTGGCCCAGCAGCTCAGACAGGCAGATACCTGCTTCTACACAACAGCCGCAGTCATCAGATACAGTGGGTTCAAGGGAATCATCAAGGGGGTACAGCGATTCCGGAGATTTCTCATCACTTGACTGCAGCTGGGATGGCATGTGCTGGGGCCCGTCCCGAGACCCCGCGCCCAAGGAGCAGCCCTGCTGCAATCCCAGAGGCCTTAAGGACTAAGGTCATGGCAGCAGCTTAAAAACAGAGAGGCAGTACTGCAGCTTCCTAAGCAGCCCGATCCAAGACGAGACGCAGCTTCCCCCAGCTACAGGAGCTAAAGCAAGGAGCAGCCGGGGCCGG